AATTTAATGGTTTCAATCTGCCCTTGTTTTTTCTTTTTGTTTTTATTTTTGCATGTTATCACTGTGCCCGTTTTTTGCTTTTATTCTTTGTTCCGCAAAGTGCGCTCTTTTAGTTTGTAGTGATGTGACAATATATATATAACTCCACTACCCTCCTCGGCGCTGGACTCCTCCAGCGCTGTGCCTCATGGCCGATGAGCAGCGCAGCTGCAGTCTCGAAATGGTGCAGCAGGGAGTCTCCAAAATAGCGCAGCAGCCAAGTTCCTGAACCAGCATAACGCTGGATTTCTCCTGGTACCTTCTGTGTCCGAACTGGGCAATGGCCCAGCTTAAGTAGTGCTGGGCCAGGACTGAAAACCCACGGCCTGCGTTCTGGACCGTGCAGAGTGAAACTCCGATCCACGGTCCAGATCGCAGGCTTCGAAAACTGGTTCAGTCCTTGGCCTAAAACGGCCTGCCTGGGTCCCTACCGGACGTCCAGGCCCTGTCCAGGATTAATCTTCCTGGTACCTGGCTTCAAACCGGTCCTGTGCGGACGTACCCGGCCTCAACGTCGGCCTGGGTTCGAACAGGTYAAAATCTGTTCGAAAACAAAAGAAAAGGTCCAAACGTTTTTAGGAGCTCAGCCTCTGGGCCTGAATCTGGCCCTGGCCCTAGAAGCGTGTACCTGGCCACAAAACGGACAACAGTACACCCGYTAGAAAAACAGCAGCAAATAAATAAAATAAAGACTATAAAAATAATCTAAAGCTGGCGTTTTTCTGATGCAGGCCCAAGTAAAAATGCCATAGGGCCTTCAGGTTGCGGTGACGCGACCTGGGGGCCCTATTCCAACCTCGGGTCCCGTGAGGGGCCCGTGTGTAGGCTTTCAGCATGTAACAAATCCTGTCAGAACGATATGCCTGTCAGCTGGACATATGACTCGGGCAATGCTTGTTTACGGGACAAGCCTAGGAATGAGGACAGTTTCTGAGTGTAATTGACTGCCCTTACGGCTAGGTTGAGTCCAGTACGTTCTAGCCGGAGAATGGCTTAAGTGGAGGTAAAGAAGTTGCATCCTGGCCACACTAGCTGGCTTTGCACTTAGGTGTCCCTGCAATGCAGCTCTCTGCAACCATAAATGGTACAGCACAGGCATGCATAACACAGCCTCAAAGTGGACTGCCACTTTGGCACTTGGGTAGCTCTTGGGCGAGATGCTGTAAAATGATAGGCATTTCCTGCTTTCTCTGTTTGGAAGGGCACCTGAACCATTTGGAGGCCATGGGATGGCCTATCCGTGTGGGATTTCGAAAATAGAGACCTTGCTTGAGCACTCAGACCCATAAGATAGCAGATGGCGAGGTAGTCAGTACTGGTCTATTTAGAATGAAGCTCTGTTACCACTTGTCCAGGACCAGGCCACTTGGGCCGGACGATTGGCCCGGACGTCCTGGGTCCATGTGTCTGGGATCCTGGACACTCAGTTTTCTGCAAATCTGGGAATGACACGAGTCCTCCAACAAGTGGTACTTACGGCACTTCATGGTGGGAGCCCCAAGTACGAATCCTTCAACAAGTGGCACTAGCTGATTTACCAGCTGGTACTGCAGGTGCAGCAGGCCTTGCACCAGGCCCTGCAGCAGCAGCTGCAGGGGGGTGCTGCTGCAGCAGCATCTCCAGCAGGTGGCGCTGCAGCAGCACAAAAATACAAAAGACGACAGAGAAAAAAGGAAGTTTAAGCAACTCTCGGAGCTGCTGATGCAGCAGGTGCTGCAACTACATCAAGTGCTTCTGCAGCGGTAGCTCGAGTAGCTGCTGCTGCAGCAGCTGCTACGGAATCTGCAGAATGTATTGCTGCAGCAGCAGCTCGAGCAGGTGCTGTGGCAGCAGCTCCAGGGAGGTGCGTCCTCTCTGTCAATGGAAGAGGAGGATGGCGAGGAGGAAGGGGACAAGGAAGACGAGGAGGAGGAGGAGGAGGAAAAGGATCAGGATGACAAAGGCAAAGTGGAAGAAGACGACCTTCTTCTTCCACTTCCTCTTCCTCATCCTCTGTCTTTTCTCCTCCTCCTCGTCTTGTTCCTCCTCCTCTTCTTCTTCCTGCTGCTCCTCCTCCTTATCCTGCTCGAGCTTAGGGTTTAGGGTTTATGTCGCTATGAACTTTTAAAGGTCAGGAGTCAGGACACTTGGGACGGATGTCCGCCCGGACATCCTGGACACTTGGAGGGCTCCCAGACATCCCGGCCAACTACCCAGGAATAACGTCCACTGCCATATTATCCAGCCCATTTTTACCCGAATGTATTTTACCAGGGTACCATCTCCTCATGAAATAAGCATGGGCACTATGGTCATGCCGTATATACAGGGCAAGAGCGTATTTCCAAACTTGAATTATTGCCTTGTATTCGGGGAAATAATACCAAATCTAACAATTGCCATATCTCAGGGGGAAGACAGTGCCCAGATGTTACAATCTTGTTCTGAAACTAGAACTGGATCTTGTGGGGCTTTAGATAGATATGGACTGGAAGGTTGTCGTTTCAGCAAAGGTCTCCTGTTTGTCTCTGGCCCGATAACCGCGAGTGTGTGCGGGAGAATCACAAGTCAGCAAGGTGAATGGATAACTGTGTAGCATGTACACTGTCCTCGAAGGGCATGCGGCACTATATCACACCTTCAATGCTGAGTGCTGGGTAGCAAGGTCAAATTCTGCCACTAAAACCAGAGGTCAGTATGGCCTACCTTTTGGCATTGTATGCCGGGGCACTGCATGCGTGAGGTGTCGGAAAGCAAGAGTGGTCAAAACTATGTCCAGTCTCCTATGTCCAGTTGCCAGAACTATTGGCAGTGGTCATCTTGTCCATTTTTTTGGAGGAAGAGGAGAAAGGCTGGGTGTTGCAGAGAAGGATGAGGACTGGGGGAGGACAACAAACATGATATTTGCAAGAATGGAAAGGACTATCTTAACCTGAAAACAAGGTACGTACTTTGTATTCAAGTTACCTCCGAAAAATGGGTTCCAAGAAATCACTGTTAAATTTTCAAATAGAAGGTACTTGCGAACACGAGGTACGTACCTTGTAATCGAATACAAGGTACGTACCTTGTTTTCAAGGTGTGCGTTGTCTGACATATTCGTTTTTTTTTCTTTCTTGTTTTTTTGGAAAATCTTTGAAATGCCCCTCTGACTTCCATTTATTTGCAGTATGCCCCTCTGACATCTGACTTACCCTGTGGCGCGGCATCATTTCAATATGCCCCTACTGCAATGAACCTCTTAGTTCAACGCCAGTGAGCGCACATATTCACACCAGATGCATGTATGAGATCACACGAAGTTCATACTTGAGACCAGAGAGAGAATAAGACCAGGTAGCGCAAGCGCACATATTCACACCACATGCATGTATGAGATCACACGAAGTTCATACTTGAGACCAGAGAGAGAATAAGACCAGGTAACGCAGCTTATGAATTCCAACAAGGTATTAGAAGAGCAATAAGAGTTCAAGTCACCAGCGTTCATCAGCGCATGCCAAAGGTAACCAGTAACCAGCATAAGCTCTCAGGTAAGTATCTCTTCCCCATTGCTCTTCCCTCTTATGTATCTCTTCTCCTTGCTGGTCTTCTTCCTAGCTATGTCTTCGCTGTGTCTTCTCTCCCTACATGTGTGCACACTCGCTATCCTCTACCCAAGGATCTACTCTGAATACACCCACTGATATGCGTGCTAACCTCCTGAAGTCTACTACTAATCTACTAACACTTTGCACTGGCGCAGCTATGGCTGCCTTCTCCCTGCCAGCGCTATGTTCCTCTCTCTCTCTCTCTCTCTCTCTCTCTCTCTCTCTCTCTCTCTCTCTCTCTCTCTCTCTCTCTCAGTGCAGCACTCTGGCTTCAGCGCTCGACTCACAATAGCGCACAAGTCCACCAGCACTTCCACACTTCATGCGAATGAGTAATCTGCCCGAATTGGAGGCTGGCCAGTCCTTTTGTAGTCTTGGATTGCACTTCAACTCGTGCCAGCCTCTGTTTCTTGGGACCTGACTGGTTCCGGTACCACATCCCCACAGCCTGTCTGCTTTGGAATGTCAAGGCCTGGAACCTTCCCGAATTTCCATAGGTCTGCTGCTGCTTGGGCCTGCTAGTCATGACTTTTGGATTTTAGCATATGGTTTTGACTGTGGACTGTGACTCCTGCCTCTGAGATACGACTCTTGCCCATGGGACTGCCCTTTGAGTCAATGGGATGTGACTCTTCAATATGACTTTTCATTATGAGACGTGACTTTTGTCCCTGAGATGTGACTGTTTGCTGGGTGCCTGTTGGACTGGACGGCTGAAGTACCCGACCGTGACTTTTCTGAAATTGACGAACTTGGCCTTTCTTGGCCAGGGCCTCTAACCCTGAGACCCAAATTTGGGGTCTGAATCGTCGAAGGTCTTTCACTCTCGCCGGCCTGATTTTGAGGTCCTCCGAGAAAATTACCAAATTTTATATGTCTGTTATGTTAATTCCTTTCTTAGCTCGCTCATAATAGGACACTATGTTGTGCCGACTCAATTAACTCATCTCTTGTAAACCAGCGATCTTCTGAAGGTTGTTGACAGGCAAATCTAACCTTATACTGTCCATGTGGTTTACCCCTGCGTCCAGATCTGTAAACATCTTCCCCAACAATCCTATCCACATCATACTTACCATCCTTATCAGGGGGAATCATAGATCTGCGTGATGGAAACATGTTATTACTAACGCAAGGCAATAACTTTGAAGCGTGGAACACCGGATGGGTGTGCAAATGTTGAGGACTCTCAACAATAAAGTAAGGACCATCTACATCACCAATCACATCAAGAATTTGCCAGGGTCCTGGATATGCAGGCAATAACTTTTGAGAAATGTTTTCCTCAGGGAGGAACTCTTTCGACTTCACCCAGACCAAACCTCCTACAGCAAATTGCGAGGGTCTGCGGTGCTTATTAGCTTGTTCAATCATCTTTGCTTTAACTTTTTCCAGATCTTTTTGGTACTGAACATCGAATTCCCTGGTTCCTGGCAGAAGTCTCTGTACTTTATCAGGATTTAGACAGTCAATGGGTCTACATGGGCGCCGTCCAAGATTCAGTTCAGTCGGTGTTCTAGGTGTAGCTAGATGCACATAATTGTTATAGGCACTGGCAACCTTTGACAAATGTTCATCCCAATCAATCTGATATGGTCGGATATACATGCGCAGCACTTGCTGCAGCGGCTTGTTCATCTGCTCGGTCTCTCCATTTGTCTCAGGATGTCTACTTGAAGACATAGTCAATTTAGACCCGAATACATTCATCAGTTGCTGCCATTGCTCGCCTGTGAACCGCAAATCGCTATCACTTACAATAGTCAAGGGATGCCCAAAATCTTTCACCCTATGAATCTATGATTAAAAAATTATCTAATCACCAAATCAGCTCTTGCTTCTCCAGGGAGTGGAACAAACACAGCAAACTTGCTAAACCAGACTACTGTCACCATAACTTGATTTTTTCCATTTCTACTCTTTTCTTTACTGTCCATAAAGTCTATAGACACAAGAGTCCCCGGGTCCCGACGGAACAGGTAGCGGTATGAGTAAGCCAAGGGGCGGCTGTGTGGAACTTTTGTTCCTTTGGCAAACCTGGCAGCCATGCACATAGGAGATGCAATCATGCTTCATTCCTGGCCACGTGTAGGAGCGTAGGAGGTTAGCATAAGTCTTCCTCCATTCGAAGTGCCCCTAAGTATCGTGGTTCTCCCCAAGTATTATGCTACGAATTTCCTCGCTGTTCGGAACACATAATCGGTGATGGACATTTGTCTTTTCAAACAGCAGTCCCTGCATTACTCTATAGTTCGAGACTTCGTGAGGTGCTGTTTGCACCTTGCCAATCAATTGACTATAGACATGATCACTTGCGTAGGCAGACTTAATCTTTTCCTGTAGTTCGGTGCTTGTATCTAAGTATGTGACAATGGCACCGAAAAAGTCAGCCCTTACTCAATGCGTCATCGACAACATTGTACTCTCCCTTTACTGGCTTCAATTCAAAGTCAAATTGATCAATCTTCCCAGCCCACCTAGTCAGTTTAGGTGTCATCTCGGCCTGAGTTTTTAGCCAGCGAAGTGTCTCATGATCCGAGTTAACTTTAAAGTGGCGTCTTAGCAGATAATGTCGCCAATGATTAAATGCTTCCCTCGGAGCGAACAACTCTCTCTCATAGGTAGAAGTGGCAACCTTTTCGCTAGGCAGTCTACATGACATGAATTTCACAGGTCTGTACCCATTCCCATCGTCTTGATGGAGTACAGCACCAATCCCGGATTGACTGGCGTCGGTGGTTACGATAAAGGGTGGAGATGGATCCGCAACTTTCAACACCGGGTAATTAATCAAACATTTCTTTAAACGCTTGAAGGACGCAACACAATCCTGATCCCGTTTACATATAGTTTTTTTCTTAAGGATCTGCGCAATGGGGCAACGATTACCGTAAAGTTCGAAACGAACTTGGGGTAATAGTTGGACGCAACACAATCCTGATCCCGTTTACATATAGTTTTTTTCTTTAAGGATCTGCRCAATGGGGCAACGATTACCGTAAAGTTCGAAACGAACTTGGGGTAATAGTTGGCCAGACCAAGAAACGAGCGTAGTTCCATCAACGTGCGCAGGTTAGGTCTTCTTCGGGTTAATGTTGAATTGCGCCTCTCGCTGTTTATTAAGCACAACTTTTAGGTGCTCCTCCTCGCTCAGACTCTTACTAAAAATCAATATATCATCCAAATAAACAACAACAAAATTATCAAGCCAATCACGGAAGAGTTCATTCATACATCGCTGGAAGGTTGCAGGGGCATTTGTCAATCCAAACAGCATCACCACAAACTCATAGTGGCCATATCTAGTTCGAAAAGTTGTTTTATGCCGATCCTCATGCAATACCTCAACCTGACGGTAGCCCGATTTCAAATCAATCT